CCAAGAGCTAGGCAGAGTAAGCCGTCTAACTACAAGCCATCTCTTGCTCATGTGAAAATACTGCACACCCTATGCTAAATATTTTCACCTTGTGTTGCTTCTGATGACTGCAGTTGCAGTAATACTGCCTGAGTTCAGAGGTGTTGTTCCCTGGAGTCTTATCCTTTTATGAAAAGAAACTTGTGGGTTCAGTGGGACAGGTAACAGATGTCTGCAATCTGGTCTCTCTGTGGGGCCAGTGTCTTCTTTTTAAGCATTCTCAGCTCAGTCACAACCAGGAAGGGAGAAGAGGTTGAAGGAAAGAGACTGAAATGTCTGCAATTCAGGTTAGGAATTTTGTGTTGATGATTAGTATATTCACTGCAAATAGGCAGTCGTGATTCAACCTACGAGGCTCCATCACTTAAGCTGAAAAACTGGAAGAATAATGACATTATGAAAATAGTTTTGTTCTATTCAAAATGAAACATTTTGATTTTTCAATTCAAAGCTAAAATAAGCCAGCTTTAAAACAAAGGCTAAGTACATCTGACAATGGAGCATTTTATTCACCCCAAGACAAATGATTTTGCTTTTAAACTGAGGTTGCCTTAGGCAAAAATAAGGAGAAAGGTTACACTGATCTTTTTTAATTTGTAGCATTCAGTCACCAAACTGGAACGAGCACTTGCTTTCAACAGCAAGTGATTTGGGGAATCTCCAATATTGAAGTGGAATAACCGTGTTCTGGCTTCTTCGCTGCCAGGTTAGATTAGAAATCTGTGTTTGCATGACAGGATGTTTTTCTTTTTTTCTTGAGGTCAGTCGAGATATGACACTATGATGACTACTTTGTATAGTGCACTACTCAAGATGGGACACACGGAAGAACTTGCTAAAGATTCATTTACCTGCCATTTCACCCACCTTTTCTTTCTGTGGCTTTTCCAGATTAAACCAGTGTCACATAACAGGTCAAAACAAAGCGTAAGTTCCTTTACTCGTACTCATTAAAAGAACACTTATTCTCTTGGACATCACTTGCACAAAGTAAATCAGTACACTCTACTACTTAAAAATTTCCTGACAGATTAAGTGCATAGCTACTGGCACAAAATAAAAGCATAATTAAACAAGCTGAAAGGGAATCTCAAAAGTACACGGTCAAGAATGTGATACAGATCAATTTGTTAGGAATAGGATCTTTTTCTATTTTAGGATTTCTTCTTCATAAAAGAGGAAAATAGACTGATGTTTGAAAATCTCAAAGATGATGTACTTAAGACTGTAAATGCAATTTGTAAATCCTACTTTAGTTTACTGAGACTAAGAAATAACTTTTATGCTACAGGGTGCCAGAGAGTCAAATTAGCATGCCTAATTTAACTGAATATTATTTTAGAATAGTTAATATCAACTTGAATTATTTTTGTTTAATGTATTCTTTTTTTCTCTGTGTATATTCCAGTCACATAACTCATACATCCGTTATTCCCAGCATCGAGTCTATGATGTTTATACAGATCTCCCTGCAGGTCATTTTGGCCTAACTGAATCGTTATTTCAGCAGCATGTCCTAGTTTAATGATACTGTTACTTGAAATGCTGCCTTTTGCAAGCTTTCTTCCCCCTGGGGTTAACTCAGCCCTTCCACACTGAAATCAGAAAAACTGACCCTACTCTTAAGCGGGAGATGCTGGCAAGTGAACCCTGCTTTCTCATGCACAGGGTACTCAGCGCTTCAGACCTGTAGAGTGGGTAATGTGACAGCTGAGATTCTGGGTTTTATGAACACATTTAAATCTTAATGCAATGTCAGTACTGGTTTCTGATAACGTGTGCTAATGATCTGAAGGTACGATTACTTAAAATGGCATATTAGGATTCATTTTTTGACAGAGGTGGGGATGCTGCTGTGTTCTTGCTTCCATTCTTTTCTATTTGACCATCACCAGAAGAAAAATTCTTCTCCTGCAGATCCATTTTTAGCAACAACTAATGAATATTTTAAAATCCCTGTTAGACATTTATCCTGAACCTTATTTGGAAAACAATATGGAGTCATTCTACATTGCAGCTTACAAGTATAACATTTTTAAGTGATTAAGGTATATATTAAGCATTTTTCAGTGAAATTTAAGCTTCTGAACCCAGAAGACTCTTTTGACAAAGGGACTTGATTTCAATTTAATAAGAATCCGAAATAAACAGGTGCTTCACTGAAAAGAAATTTCACAAGGTAGCTGCTAAGTAATTTGAAGATTTAAGAAACAACAGATAATGTGGATTTTAAAATCATTAGTATTTACACGTACTTAACCTGAGATTTTCCAAAGAGCTAAATGTTTAATTATCTGTAGGCCATTTAGAAATCCACACCTTATTTCTATTTTGAGTAAGTCAGTAATACTAAATCTTTGTCTCCAGTATCTATGGACAGTTCGAAAACGTGTCAGAGTTCCTACTAGCCACCTGCTTCCAAAGCATTCTACAATATTGGCTAGTAGAAATTTAAAAGTCCTTTCAAGCCTTGTGATATGCTCTCATCTTCATTTTGAGAAGGGAAGCAAACACAGAAAGACTCTGCTTTCACACAAAAGTACAATATGTCAGGAGTTTCCCTGCTGGTATGCTCTAATTACATGTGAAACTTGGGACCAGTGTCAAGGAACGTCCTCAGGAATTTGAGGATCATTACCAGGATTTAAAGCAAAAGATTCTCCAACCCCAAACTTAACCTAACTTACATCACTGAAGCAAATACAACACTTTTGGGTTTCAGAAGACCTCTGCACACAGCATAAACTTAAAGTTTCTCTTCAGTGAGGAAACTTTTTACATATTCATTTTCAGAGTAGAACTTCAGTTCAAGGACCTGCTTTAAAAACCTGAATGATAGCTGCGGGAGCTCAAAACCTCAGAAAATCAGGCAAGAGAAAACTAACATAAAACCACAAAAGAATTGATTTTTTAAATCACGGGAGATATTCACGTGTAACAATGTAGAATTTTTAAATGAGTAAGCACTATTAACTATGGAGCCCACTATGAATCTGACTTGACCTGGACTCGCTGATCTTAAATCATTTAGATTGCATAGAAAATTCCACACTGGTGAATAAAGTCTTGTGGTTTAGCAGACATCTAAAAAAGGGTTTTATTTTCACACACTGCAGGAAAACGCTGCTGCAAGATATTATGGAGTGTTGCCACATGCAAATAACTGTTAGTGGAACAAACTATTTGTGAACTAACATAATTTGGAAAATTGTATTCGACAAAAATAGAAATCCGCATCTTTTTCTCTCTACAGAAAAGAAAGAACATTTTAAAACATCAGTCTCTATTACAATACTTTGCTCAAGTCTTTACATTCTTTTTTAGAAATGCAAAATCTTTCTGAATAGTCTTTCAACACCCTGAGAATCATTGCTTTTTTCAAGTTCTTTCAATATCGCAGTACCAAAGCACGTAGGGACTGGAACTATATATTTTTGTAATTAATTTCCTTAAGATAATGTTAGAAACATCAGGTTCCTTAAAATATAGATGAATTTCAAGGTGAGTCTGCTAGCAGATGTTATTAATGACATATGATTTATTGTGACATGAAATCTGATCTGAAACTCATGTTATTAGCTGAGCTTTTTATAAATTATAATTGCCAACTGCTGAAAATATGCAGAAAGACCACTGATAAACTAGCTTCATCTTCAGGGCCTAGAATATCTGCATTTGCTAAATGTCCAATATCTCTAGTCCTGCTAAATGAGTATAATACATTGAGATGTGCAGATCAGGCATGAGTTCAGATCTTTTCATAGTACAATTCTTCCAGAAGGAGAAACATTGAAGGTAGGAAGAGGTCATACAAAATAAATGTTTACTGTGGAACTTACTTAAAAAGAAACATACACTCGGGGTCATCGTATGACATTGCATAGATACTAAACAGATTGAGTATTTAAGAAAAAAGCCCCCATCTTTGGCTGCTAAATGTAAAATTTATACTTTCAGTGTGAAAACAGTAAGAAGTTGATAATATTCAAAGAAATTCAAACATCATTCTGTACAGCTCTAAGATGACAGCACAAACAGCATATTTTATCATCCTAAGGTCTATGAAGATTTGCATCTACACAAGACTTTCCAGATCACTCCCATGGAAAACTAAAGAAAGTCTACGGGTAGGCTCACAATGACAAAACATTTGTGTTATTCATTATTTCTAGATATTCCCCATTTATTCCCAATAACTTCATATCTTACTTTCCCCATATGCCTTTAAAAGTTAATTAAAGTTTCTAAAATGTTGCTTTTACCCATCACAACCTATGTGCTAAATTACCTAAATAAGAAGAGACAAACATAAGCATTGCATTATGAATATTATCTACTCAACAAACCAGATATTGAAAGAAGGTGAATTAACAGTACATGTTGTAATACATTTTTAATCTCCAGAATAGCTGAGATAACATTGCAAATTCAAAAAGCAACACAAGGAACAGATGCAAAGTCTCATTCCTGACTTTTTTACATATCCAAAGCTGTTTAATGATAAACGCATTTATGTGTAAAATGGCATTCACTTGCCCTTACTAAGAGTATATATGGAAGAGCCCCCTGTCAATGTACCAGTGTGCGTGTGGGAATGAAACATAAGGATCACCATCTGCAGCTGTCTAATAAGTGTTCTTCAGTGCCTAATGGCAAAGTGTCAATTCAGGGATCCTCAGATACCACAATGCATCATCTTGTCCATGCTAGTCTTACAAGTCAAACATTTCGCATGTGAGAACAGTTTATTTATAATGCTATTCATTTCAGTTGAAATACCAGATATAAAACAGTTACGCTACAAGCAGTCTGGGAGCATATACTTAATATAAAATGCACCAATTTCCTCTCTTTTATAAGAATCAATATTTTAAAGGATGTGCAAAATTTAACCCCTCACGGAACATACCTTAACAACATGGAAAAAATCTTTTCATATGCAAATATTTTTAGAATCTTACCTACTGTTGAACTTCTCTGGATGTTTTTCTCTCATGATATGGAATCTGTGGGCGATTGAAGCATCCTAACAGGAAAAAGAAAACCATAAATCTATTGTGACAGGAAAACTACAAACCAGAAGACCAAAACTGTAAACAAGGCATATTGTTTGTATGGCGCTTTGTGAACTGTCATTTCCAACATGAGCAATACTCTTATCAATTATAGAATCTTACAGGTATGCTGTTCCAAGAATGGGATCCATCTGAACTTAAAAAATTATTACACTTCTTAGTCTCCATTATTCCTTTTTACAAATCAGACATGATAGTTACGTTTACTGAACAGTATCTTCCACTTCTGTACAACAAAGATCATCCAGATCTGGTGAAGGTTACAATAAGGCCATTCATACATTTCTCTCACGTTGGAATACTAAATAAAGTCTATGAAACCTATTCCTTTAGTATAGGTGAGTGATAGATTCAGCAGAATTACTTTATATGCATATAGCTTGATGTTTGCGTATGGCCATTCAATAGCTTTCTCTGAAATTTTGTAGAAGATGGGAATAAATGCCAGGAGATGCCCCATTTTCTATATGTCAGGGTATGAAATCATGTAGGGGCACAACTAGATTTTTAATATAAAAAAAGAGACTTGTTAATTAAATATACTTTATCAAAATATTTTAAAATGTAAATGATGCTAACAATACACTTAAATAATGTGTATGTGAAATGAAAGCTGTATGAAATACTTATATGTGTATAACATGTTAAGAGGAATCAAACCATTACGGTGGTGGGAGTTGCTGAAAACAATATTTGCAACTGATATGCAGGAGACAGCAAATAGAGAAATCCATTTGGATCGTGGTTTTATAATTATATCTTAAAATGCTGCATATATAGGAATATAAATATAAGAAGAGTTAGTTCAGTTACTAAGAAATTTAAATTAATTCCAGTTTCCATGTAAATAAAGTTTGACAAAACCTACAAATAAAACTATCACTATAATCAGCTACCATGTATACGAAAAAAATACATTATTTATCAGCTTAGAAGATTATGGAAATCTAAAAGCTAAGAATTTTAGAGAATTATTAAATTCACTATGAAGTCTATATCTAGCAACATTTTAAATTATTTGCAAACTATGAGAATTAGCATTGGGGAGGGGGAAACAAAATTAAATACTTTACTTGAATGTTATCATATTTCTGATTCCATTTTGATATTACTATTTTGTTTAAAGTAATTTTTATTTAACCCAATCAATGTTAATATAAATCTCAAATAAGCAAGCATTTTGTGCAATTATATAGGTAGCCACTAACATATAGGCTGTAACACTATGACTATGATAATTTTTTATTCACTAGAATCTTAAGCAGGGCACCCTCTGGAGAACAGACTGGTCCAACCTTCAGGCTTGGTTTACTGGCTTGTGGGTTATTTTATGCACGCTCTACCTACATAAGGATGTAGCATAGCAGAGAATTTTTAGGCAAAACTTGTGATCACCGATCAAATAAAATAATTTAGTAGCACCATTGAAATATTCACTTTTATTCATGATCTTATTATGTAGTTTCTAAAGATGTATATAGTTTGTTGCTTTATGCACATCACTTCATTATTTATTTATTTTTCTAACATCTTTAAGAATGGAATTGCCATTTAACATTTTACTGTCCTATAAGTAGATGACAGCAAAACCCCCCTAGTGAATGAATTGGTGTTAGTCATAAAATGCTTTATTGTTCTGTCCTGTCATCCAAACTGTCACCTGCAACTTTCAGGGCTATATTCTCAAACTGCACTCATCATTACTTTGAATTTATTTTTATGTGCAATTTTATTAGGCAAATATCCACAAGTATCCAGGTGATCCCACAGTTCTTGGAGACGGATGAAATAAAGCTGACAGTAAACCCTGAGACATCACACTTCTAAACAAAGCCTGCCAGCTGAACTAAAATAATAACTCTGTTAACTTTAGAAAGACCCATCATTCATACTTTATCCTACATTAGATGTGCCAACATTAGAAAAGTGTATTTGTTAGCCCGTTCTATATGAAGAAGAAATAAAAGGACTACTGTTGTGGTTAACTGTTAAACTTTCTACACGCTGAAGCAAAAGAAAAAGACAGACCCAAGACAAAATGAATAAAGGAGTGGTAGCATATTTGACAGAAACTAGGAAACACTAATCAAGGACTAACTGTCTAATGAATGAAATGAAAAGGCTAATGGGCTTACTCATGCATAACAAATGCAAGGCACAAACAAGCTAGGGATCAATGCCCACTGCAGATGGCAAACAGGCAGTTGTTTCCATGCAAGGTTGATTTGATCAAAATTTTCCCCTGCCTGAACATTTTCTGACTCCAAAACGGATCAACTAACTTAATGAGCCGAGAGGTAAAAGAAGTAATTCACAAAGCTAATTTTGACGAGCGCAACGCAAGACAGGCACTTGTCAGACCAATTTCATACAAAAACTGTTGAAAGGCTATTTTTATTAATGGAGACTGCAAACCAGAGTAGTAGCTGCACACAGATAAGTTCAGAAGTAGGGGAGCTGCTACGGCTTTCTTTAGTTTATACTGCCCAACTGCCCTTTTCAACCCTTAACCGAGTCCTGCGTACAGAGTCCTTAAGATTCCGTAGCACAGGGACCTCTTCCCAACCATAACTCCATGCTGTAGGAAAATCTGAAACCAGCCCACGCTGGTTGCATGTTAGCAAAATAATCCTTTCCTCTAGTGGAAAAAAAAGAAAAGAGAAAAAAAAGAAAAACTACACTGAGTTTTCTGGTTTTGAAATGTCCATCAACTTTTATTTGTTAAGATAGTAGCATACAGACTAGTATAAATAAATAAAACAACCGGAAGAATTGAAAGTAGCAGGAACCTGAGAGTGAGTAGGAATGCAAGTTCTGTTTCCTAAGAGCTACAGGAGTTACCAGATGCCACCCCGGAATCCTGAGGAACAACCATTATCAGTTTTGTATTTCTGGATGAGGAGAGCAGAGGGTCCTTCATTGTGAGCTGTTTCAGCTACATTTGAAATAAGATTCATTTGAGCAGACTTCATTCAGCCATTTCAAAAAGAGGCATCTAGCCTAGCCTATTTAGAGCATACAACTGTTGTTGGACCAATGGAGAATTAATTTCTTTTTTGTGTCACAAACTATATTAAAATCACCTAATTAAACTATACTGAGAAACAGAGCAATATCCACACGCATGGTAAGTCGAATATTGTTTGCATATTGTTGCTTTAATATGCTGACCTTTCCTGGTACCTGATATTGTGGATGGTCAGAAAATATGAGAAATTATTTTTGTATTTGATAATAAAACTGATGTAAAAGCAAAAACCCAGGAGTCAGTAAAGCAAACTCACATGCTTCATGATATTACCTAGCAAGGTAACAAGTGAAGAGGCTTTTTTAGAAAGGTCATTTGACAGTCAGATACTGGTCTATAATTAATATCACCTGTGGGCATTCTGTATTAATTTTTATTAATAAATTGATAGGGATGCTAGCCTGCAATACAATTTTCCAGCAGTACTATACCGGAATCTAAGTATTTTCTATTTTTAAAAGTAACACACCATAAGTGCACACAAACATGCCTAAAATTTGAGCTTTATTATTAATAATAACCTGAGGAGACACAACACTGTCAGGCCTGTTGCAAGGTGAAAGGACGAGGAAGGTCTTATGGGATCACTGTAATATGAAACGAGCACCTTTCGCTACACCCATGCTTCAGTCAGAAAGCTCATTTTATACCTAAAGCATTGTAATATTTTTCATCAAAGCATCCAAGAGTGGAGATTTTTTCCAGGAATACTTTGCATCAGAATCAATGCTGGTGTGCAAAATAATGCTGAATACAGAGCATTTAGAAACAGAACCAACAAACTAATTAGACAATTTTGTGTTTTGGAGAATATTATATGAATAATTAGAGTTCTACGCTACTACTCTAAAATACTTCATTTCTTTTTTAAGACATACAGTATTTTTCAGTCATTTACCTGTCATAGGCAATTTATGACAATAACCTAGACGGTGATAATTTCTCTGAACTTTCACTTCACAGTATCACAAATCTAATCTGAAAAAAAACCTACCACACCTTGTTCTCTTTTATATGCCTCCCTAGTTTAGATGGTTTCCACTCACTGCTGCAGCATTTTGAAAGTAGAGATGAAGGAATGGGTGTTTGAAGAACACAAGATGCAGTTTATCCCAGTTTAAATTCTACAAAATTGTAAATTGACTCTTAAAAAATGTACATCTATATCTCCCAAATATTCAACCTGGGCATATGCGTGATGAACATGAAGACATATACACATATATACACCCTTAATTTGAACCTGTTCAGAGTCTGAAGTAGCTGGACTATCCTTATATCTCACTCAGGTTTGTTTTAAATCCTGACAGTGAAGATAAGATAGAGAACAGACAGAGCATATCTGAATCTACTCCTAGGAAATGGAAAAAATATTTTAATTGAACTAGGACATTTCTCAAAGTGACCTGCCAAGAAGAAAAGAAGCTTAAGTTGCTACACCTCTTTAATACCTTATGATTGACTTACACACATATATATTCATCTTTTTAATGGGTATTAGCATTACCGGAAAGCAATCTGAAGCAGTCTTTTCAGAGGAGTAACCTTATACATTGTGAATAACCTTATAGAAAGATTAATGCATTTAATATATGTCTATCTATAAGCTTGCTGTGATTAAAATTTCCATTAAATAATAATTTTTATGCTGGTGAACAAACAAATGACCAATGTGCATCTTCTTTGGATACAAATGGTCTGATTATTTTTTTCTAAGATGCTTCTTTAATTAAGGCTTAATGGATCCACAAGGCTAGGAAGCTTAAGGGATAATTCAGCAACCTGTAATCTTTGGATCAGAATGCAAATCTAACCTGAACAACCAGTTAGCTCACATCAGTTATTGATATGGAATAGCACAGATGTACAAAAAATATTATTGAAAATCGATTAAGAAGTTTGCTGCAGTGGCTTAAGACTAAA